CAAATACAAAAGCTAACCTTGCACCTAAAGGAACTAGAGAGAGAACAGCAAATTAAAACCTACATCCAGCAGAAGACGAGAGTTAATAAAGATTCGAGCAGAACTCAATGAAATGAAGATCGGAACTGTGGAACAGATAAAAAAAAAAAAAAACAGGAGTTAGTTCTTTGAAAGAATTAATAATAGATAAACCATTAACCAGCCTTATTAAAAAGAAAAAAGACTCAAATTAATAAAATCACGAATGAAAAAGGAGAGATCACAAACAATACCAAGGAAATACAAATTATTTTAAAAGCATATTATGAGCAGCTATACACCAACAAATTAGGGAAACTAGAAGAAATGGACACGTTTCTGGAAAACCACAAACTACCAAGGCTGGAACAGGAAGAAATAGAAAACCTGATCAGGCCAATAACCAGGGAGGAAATTGAAGCAGTCATCAAAAACCTCCCAAGACGCAGAAGTCCAGGGTCAGATGGCTTCCCAGGGGAATTCTAGCAAATGTTTAAAGAAGAAACCATACCTATTCTACTAAAGCTGTTCTGAAAGATAGGGATGGAATACTTCCAAACTCGTTCTATGAGGTCAGCATCACCTTAATTCCAAAACCAGACAAACACCCCACCAAAAAGGAGAATTATAGACCAATATCCCTGATGAACATGGATGAAAAAATTCTCAACAAGATACTAGCCAATAGGATCCAACAGTACATTAAGAAGATGATTCACCAGGGGCAAGTGGGATTTATTCCAGTGACACAAGGCTGGTTCAACACTTGTAAAGCAATCAACGTGATAGAGCATATCAACAAGAGAAAAAACAAGAACCATATGATCCTCTCAATAGATGCAGAGAAAGCATTTGACAAAATAAAGCATCCATTCCTGATCAAAACTCTTCAGAGTTTAGGGATAGAGGGAGCATTCCTCAGCGTCTTAAAAGCCATCTACCAAAAGCCCACAGCAAATATCATTCTCAATGGGGAAACACTGGGAGCCTTTCCCCTAAAATCAGGAACGTGACAGGGATGTCCACTCTCACCACTGCTATTCAACATGGTACTAGAAGTCCTAGCCTCAGCAATCAGGCAACAAAAAGAAACAAAAGGAATACAAATTGGCAAAGAAGAAGTCAAACTCTTCCTCTTTGCAGATGACATGATACTGTACATAGAAACCCCAAAAGAGGGATCCCTGGGTGGCGCAGCTGTTTGGCACCTGCCTTTGGCCCAGGGCGCGATCCTGGGGACCCGGGATCGAATCCCACGTCGGGCTCCCGGTGCACGGAGCCTGCTTCTCCCTCTGCCTGTGTGTCTGCCTCTCTCTCTCTCTCTCTCTCTCTCTCTCTCTCTCTCTCTGTGTGTGTGTGTGTGTGTGTGTGACTATCATAAATAAATAAAAAAATTTAAAAAAAAGAAACCCCAAAAGACTCCACCCCAAGATTGCTAGAGCTCATACAGCAATTTAGCCGTGTGGCAGGATACAAAATCAATGCCCAGACATCAGTGGCATTTCTATACACTAACAATGAAACTGAAAAAAGAGAAATTAAGGAGTCAATTCCATTTACAATTGCATCCAAAAGCACAAGATACCTAGGAATAAACCTAACCAAAGAGTAAAGGATCTATACCCTAAAAACTACAGAACACTTCTGAAAGAAATTGAGGAAGACACAAAGAGATGGAAAAATATTCCATGCTCATGGATGGAGAAGTAATTAATTAATATTGTGAAAATGTCAATGCTACCAGGCAATTTGCATGTTTAATGCAATCCCTATCAAAATACAACTAAAATTCCAACTCCAGAGAGTTGGAACAAATCATCTTAAGATTTGTGTGGAATCAGAAAAGACCCCGAATAGCCAGGGGAATATTGAAAACGAAAACCAGAGCCGGGGGCATCACAATGCCAGATTTCAAGTCGTACTACAAATCTGTGATCATCAAGACAGTGTGGTACTGGCACAAAAACAGACACATAGATCAAGGGAACAGAACAGGGAACCCAGAAATGGGCCCTCAACTCTATGGTCAACTAATATTCGACAAAGCAGGAAACACTATCCACTGCGAAAAGGACAGTCTCTTCAGTAAATGGTGCTGGAAAAACTGGACAGCCACATGCAGAAGAATTAAACTAGACCACTCTCTTGTACCATACACAAAGATAAACTCAAAATGGATGAAAGATCTAAATGTGAGACAAGAATCCATCAAAATCCTAGAGGAGAACACAGGCAACACCCTTTCCGAACTTGGCCACAGCAACTTCTTGCAAAATACATCCATGATGGCAAGGGAAACAAAAGCAAAAATGAACTACTGGGACTTAAAATAAAAAGCTTCTGCACAGCAAAAGAAACAGTCAACAAAACTAAAAGACAACCTACAGAATGGGAGAAGATATTTGCAAATGACACATCAGATAAAGGGCTAGTATCCGAGATCTATAAAGAACTTATTAAACTCAACAGCAAAGAAACAAACGATCCAATCATGATATGGGCAAAAGACATGAACAGAGATTTTACCAAAGAGGACCTACACATGACCAACAAGCACATGAGGAAATGCTCCGCATCACTTGCCTTCAGGGAAATACAAATCAAAACCACAATGAGATACCACCTCACACCAGTGAGAATGGGGAAAATTAACAAGGCAAGAAACAGCCAATATTGGAGAGGATGTGGAGAAAGGTCAACCCTTTTGCACTGTTGGTGGGAATGTGAACTGGTGCAGCCACTCTGGAAAACTATGAGTTAAAAATAGACCCAGCAATTGCACTGCTGGGGATTTATCCCAAAGATACAGATACAATGAAATGCCGGGACACCTGCACCCCGATGTTTCTAGCAGCAATGTCCACAATAGCCAAACTGTGGAAGGAGCCTCGGTGTCCATCGAAAGATGAATGGATAAAGAAGATGTGGTCTATGTATACAATGGAATATTACTCAGCCATTAGAAATGACAAATACCCACCATTTGCTTCGATGTGGATCGACCTGGAGGGTATTACGCTGAGTGAAGTAAGTCAATCGGAGAAGGACAAACATTATATGTTCTCATTGATTTGGGGAATATAAAAAATAGTGAAAGGGAATAAAGGGGAAAGGAGAGAAGATGAGTGGGAAATATCAGTGAAGGAGACAGAACATGAGAGACCCCTAACTCTGGGAAACGTACAAGGGGTATTGGAAAGATAGGTGGGCGGGGGGTGGGGGTGACTGGGTGACGGGCACTGAGGGGGGCACTTGACGGGATTATCACTGGGTATTATGCTATATGTTGGCAAATCGAACTCCAATGAAAAATATACAAAAATAATAGAATAATAAATAAGCACGAGGGAGCAAATGTAAAGGTTCTCATTGATGCAGATTAGTTGGACTAATAGAGTTGTTGAATTTGGGGCATATTTCAATAAGGAAGAAAACTCAGTCTTTGCAGGTTTTAAAGGTAAATCCTGCTCTCAAGGCATTTTTATGGGTTCTTTTAGGACATATCACCCTGCACATCGCTGGGGTCTCTTGTCTGTTGCGTTTGTGGCATGGCAATGATAGGTCTTAGCTTTTGAAAATCAGATGGTTCATCTTTCCTTTGGTGGTCCCCTTACCTGTGAGGCACTAGCGGGATCTAACCTGGCCTAAGGGCTATTTCCTTCTTACAACTCACCTCTGACCTTTAGGAAATAGTCAACGCATCTTCTGTTCTTACAAATTACCTCCTTTTTATTTCCCTGTCTGAGCCTGTTTCCAATCAAGTTTCTCACACGGTGAATTTCTGAAACATGAACCAGAATCCAGTATATCCTATGTCTCAAACCCCAGGAGTCACAAATAAAGCTCTTTAAGTATCCTTTTAAGTATCCACGTAAAATGGTTTCTGTTAATGCCCTGCCCACATTCCCTTCACTGTGTGGGTGTACCCATCTCCTAGCTGCTGTGGCTGCTAACAGCCCACAGCTGCCCCTTATCTAGGCAATGCCCTTTCACTGACTGAGAGCTGCCTCACCTGAGAGGTTATACCTCTCACACCCGAGGCCGGCCAGTGGCCAATGACTGACATGGGGCCCAAAAGGCCAGAACCCTTGCCTCACAGTGGGACTACTCTGTGGTGCACTTCATGCTTCAGAGCTTCCTGTGGGATCAGGCTGAGACTCATCTCCACCTAAGAACTCACCCTTGTTCAGCTCCTTCCCCCTGTCTGCCATGTTTCCCTCAGATCCCACTTCCCAAGAGCACACCCACAACAAGTGACTTCACAAGGATTCATGTCTCAGGCTCTGTTTCTAGAGAAACAGTTATGTCTAAGACATAACTACCACCCATGGAAGCAGGTCAAGCAGATAAAACAACACAGTGGCAACTATTTTCAAAAACCTATTATGTCCATCTGATCACATCTACCCTTCATGCCCTGCAAGGGCTGAGTAGCAGTGATAAGGGACAAGGATATCCAGATAGATTTTACCCACCTACTGGTTAAGTCCAGCACGTTGGGCTAGGAGAGATGTTAGCATCTGTTTGCTTTGCTAGGGGCCAGGAATGAATAGCTTCCTTTGACTTCCATGTATAAACTTCAAGGACATGAAAGGAGCCTGCCGAATGGTAGCTGTTCACCTGGATCTTTACATATGTATTGAGGACTCATTGGTGCCACATGCTAGGTTCTATGGTAAGTATTATATCATTCTGTCCTCAAAGGGACTCTTCAGGGGGACACAATATGATTAATCACATTTTATTGATCTTCATTCACAAAACTGAATCTCACAAGACATTCAGCACCTGGGCCTAGTTCCGAACTCAGATTCTCCCTAATATTTATTCAACCTTTTTCTTAGACAGCCAGTCTCTCCACCACCCCCAAAACTGCTCTTCTTTTTCCAAGTTGGTGCTCCTGGCCTCAGTCCACAGTGATTCAAGCAGCTCCTAATTTCTTCCTCCCCATTGACACTCATGTTTTCTTCCTTGGCATTCAGATCTGTGTGACTTCTGAAGAAGAGCAGGATGGCTTTATCAGAGTCCTCAGTGGAAAGAAGAGAGGCCTTGTCCCCCTGGATGTCCTAGAAAACATCTGATTGCTGGCCCCTCCTGCTTTTGCAGTGGCCGGGCTCCGCTGCGATGCCTCATCTCACACTGTGTCCACGCAGAGGAGCTGCCGCACTGACCCACCACCCGGGAAACAGTGAAACAAGACTCATGGATCTGAGACTGGAGTACCAGCCACAAGACAGAGGGCCCATCTCACAGCATTGCTGGGCTGCCCAAGGTGGGGGTGGGGCTGGGGCTGAGAGAGCTAAGTGCTATGCAGGGGGCGGCAGCGGCGGGGTGGTAGCCACAGTGGTCCCCGAGGACTCACCTCATCCCCTTCCATGTGATGTAAGTTAGCCTACTGGAGTGGGCTCCAGCTTGTGGTGTGGGTCCAATATGAGGCTCAGATCCCCACAGCCAAGTGTGATTCTGGTTCCAGACCTGTGTCCCCAGTACTGGCCCATTAGCATCATCACATTTGCTGTCTCTCTGCAGAACATCAGGAAGTCCTGCTTCCCAGCCCCCAATATGCTAGGTCTCCCCTCCCCTCTGTCCCCCTCACTTTGTGATTGTGCTGTCTCTTCTGTCCTCCAAGTGAGTCCTGGAGTTGCCCGTAAGATGTGAGGGCTGAGCTGGTGGCACCAGCCGCTAAGACCCGATCTGCCCAAAGGTGGCCAATAAGCAGTCCCTGCTGCTGCTCTAGTTACCAACAGAAGTGATAGAGAAGGGCATGAGGCACAGATACAGAGGGTGACATGGGAGTAAGGTAAGGGTGAAGAGCCCTATTTGTTGAAGATTATGCAGCACCTTTGGTTATGAAAGCATTTTCCTGTACAGATGAACCTGGGGTAGAAAATGGGGCAAAAAGTCTCAGTGATAAGCCCCATTTCATTTTACGTCCTCTATACTAGGGGCAGCATTTTCCCTCATGCGATCCTAAAGGACCCCCTTTTGGAGGCCAAGTGCACCTTGCAGAGAACCAGAAACATGGAGGAGAGAACCAATAGCATCTTAGGAGAAAGGTAGCCAAATCAGAATCCATTCTTCTTTAGGGCAGTATATCATATCCTCGCAGATGTAAAATGGAGAAGAATCTTTAGTGCTTCATCCCTCAGAAAGTAGAGGAACTTGGGTCCTATTTAGCATCAAGTAGGGGAGTCTCTCTTACTCTGTACTTGTACTAATGTTTACAAGCATTCAATATACTGTGATGCCTTCTTCCGCAAGCTCCTCCTAGCATTCAAACTTGCATCCAATTACTTAGTCATTAATATGGTTAAACTTCAATCCACAATGACCTTGGAATCAATGTCAGCTTGATTTATTTTGTTACAGACCAATAAAAGCATTAGAACAATTGCTTTTTAAAAGACTTAAGTGGGCGCATCTTGTGCAGGTAAGCATTATTTCCCAAACCCTAGTATCATTAGTCTCCATTTATTTCTTTTGTTACTGCTCAGCATGATGTTGGGAGCTGAGATGGGAGGGCTGCTGGTTTCACAGTAGTTCAGATGCCTTACTGTCATTTGAAACCCAGCATCCAGAATTTCCTCCCTCTCTGATACAAAACTGAGTGTACAGAGTCAATATGGATTCTCTGAGAGCCAGAGTGGATAATATGACTTATATTCTCTAAAATGGAATACCAGAGTACAAACACTCTCTGCCTCTAATTCAATATTCCATTGAATAAAGGCAACACAGTGGCTGGAAGGAGCATAGAAAACATGTGTCCTGATCTCTTCTTTCTGGTGGAGTGTCCGCTGAAACTTTTGGGTACAGTGATGGCATAGTCTAGGATAATTTAACTTATATTAAATAATCAGCTTGCCTTTGGAAGCTAAACAGAGGAACGCTATAGTAGCCAGCCCTCCAAGGTGGTCCTCCCATGATCCCTGCATCCCAATACTCTTGCCTTTGTGTAGCCCACTCCCATATTGAATCAGGACTGGTATTATTATTACTATTATTATTATTATTATTCAAGAGAATACAGCAGAAGAGATACTGCATGACATCTGAGGCTAGGCCAAAAAAGTCCTTGCAGCTTCTGCCTTTCTCCCTGGCAACACCCACCCTTGGAACCTGAGCCACAATGTAAGTTTATCACTCTGAGGCCACCATGGGGGAGAGGCCCAGTGGAGAGAACACGTGTTTCTGCAGCTGAGATCTTGAATATCACAGAACAGCAGTCATCCCTGTTGGGCCTGCCCGAGTGATAGCTTTATGAGCAAAATAAATATGGCTTGATGGTTTTTAAGTCACTAAGTTTTGGAGTGATTTGTTATACAGAAATAGGTATCTGGAACAGGGACTTTGTAATTTGAGCCAATGTTAGAAAGGAGAAAATACACTCATTCTGCACAATGAGGCCCAAAAGGTTTTACCCTCTTAGTGCAAGATACCTACTGTTCCTTAAATATCTGGAGTCATGCAGATAGATAATCAGAGAAAGACAGTTGTTCTCAGCACGGATTTCCACAGATATTCACACACACACACACACACAGAGAGAGAGAGAGAGAGAGAGAGAGAGAGAGACTTTAGAAGCCATAGCATTTATTTTCTTCCTGCCTATCTGCAGAAATGGCAAGAACAAGGACAGTTGTAACCTACCTAAGTCTTGAAGGCTTCCAAGATTCAAAAAAATGGCTGGGAGAAGAGCCACAGTTTTGGAATGGAGGTGAGATGAAGGCCTCAGGAGACAGATTCTGGAGAGGGGGCAGAGGCAGAGAGGAAATGCTAATATGAAGAGAAAGGGGGTCTGAGGGGATATTCTTCATCATGTGAGAGAATAGCCTTGTACCCCTGCCTGCAGCTAAGCAAGGGTGAATATCTAAATGAAACAGGGATGCTGTGCCCTATACTCCACCACCAGTGCTATAGGACTTGGATTCTATCTTTGAAGTGAATAACTGATTAAAACTTTCTCAGGGCTTCAGGAGGCAAAGAATAAAATTTTTTTACCCCATCACTAGCAGAGAGCTGAGACACCTTTAGTGTGAGCCATGGGCTGCAAAGAGAACCCATGTGTAAATGTCCAACTGACTACTAGTAGGGTTGATTTCACAGACGACCTTCTTCCTCACCTCTACACACCAAATACACACATGCAGTCCCATCAAGAAGAAGAGTCCAGTATCTGGGTTACATATTTAAAGCAACCAATGAAATGCTACATGGCAAGTGCTTATGAGAGTTAGTGTTCTTTGCTATTAAAGGGAGAAAAGTAAAATCAGTGGGAAGGTCACAGTACATGCAAATAGAAAGGTAAAAAGCAGCATGGAGGTCCAAAAGCCTGGTCCAGGTCACTGAAAGGAAGGATATCTACTGGTTGACCCTAGCCGAGAACCAGGCCCAGGCAGCTGTAAAAAAGTGTTGGGTGCTCAAATAGCTTATATTTATATAAAATAAACCAAGCTTCATCACTCAGGACTTCCCAGAGCCTTTAATTTCCCAATTTTCACAGTAAATCTATAAAAGGGGATTTAGACTCATGGAACAACTGTTAGGATCAAATAGAATATTCCAAGGCACATAGTTTGGAATATGCTGTGGTAGAGAATTCTCATATAATATTGGCCCATCTAATACCCTCTCTCTTCCTACATCTCTTTAAGATATCCATGAAATATTGAAAAGGACGAAAGAGCATAATCATCATAAAAATGGAGGCTGAAAGACAATCTACTCTGAAATCAGTAGGGAATTGGAGAAAGTGAGCTGCGTCACTAAAGGGTGAAAAGCTCAGGAAGGAGAGTAGCTTCTTATGCTCTAATAGCTTTAGCAAATACTGCCCAGCAGGGCATAGGCTGGTATAAATCTGGGAATAAAAGAAAGTTAGTTCAGCATCACCCAAAATATCCTCCCCAGGAAACTGTGAGCAGGTGTGTCCCACAGCTTTAACACAAAACAAAAATCCTTAAAAACAACACGGACAAAAAAAATTAAGACTGGTTTAATGATATCCTGCAACAGTCTCTTAGATTTTGCTCAGTTGCTTTTCTGTTGTGCGTTTTGTAGAACACCTGGTGTTTGTGACCCTCAAACATGCTTTTTTTCTTAGCTTCCAGTAAGGAGTTTTAAATAGTCCTCAATCTTCCCCTGGGTAATAGGAATGTAACTGTACCTCAAAACATTAACAAGATAATAGTAACTTATTTTATAGTTCCTTTTTTAAAAATGGAAACAAAGCAGACTTTTTATCATCTCACTATCAAATTTAAACAGCTTTCAAACATCTTCCATGTCTTCACAGAAGTCAGGATGTGCTGAAATCCTGAAATACACCATGGAAAAGTACAATACCTATTTCCAAGAAAAATGGTGGATCATCTTTAGGTTTCCTCCACTGGTCTTGTTTATTCAGGTTCTCAGGTTACACCTGGCTCTGTTTTATGCATGGCAATATTTTTCTTTGTCTATCTTTTCCTTTTAAACAAGTTTCCTAAAAAGTGTTTGCTTAGTTTATTTACTTTCATTCTTTAATACGGTAAAAAAAAATCTTCCAAGGTTATGGCTTTTCCTCTGAGTTCAGCTTTGACCATATGAAAGTGTTCCAATTTTCATTCATTCTTAAATACTCTGTAATTACAGTTTTGATTTTTCTCTTAGATTTTTATTTCATGGTTGTGTGTGTGTATGTGTATGTGATTAGAACCATTGTGCATTGTTGTCAGAAAATATGATCCATAGGGTTTCTGCTTTGAGGCATTAATTGGCACTTTGTGCTCTAATATATGAATGATCTTTAGAAATATCCAATGGATGCTGTTAAAAAAAAAGAGAGAGAGAAGTCATGTCTGCAATATATAAAGTTTAATATGTATCTACTAAATAAACACTTAAAGTGTTCAGGTCATCTCTTTTCTCATTTATTATTACTAATGCACTCTCTTAAGGACAAGGAAATCAAGAGCAAGCAACAGTGGATTGAAATAAAAGACATCTTGCAAGGACCTCCAATTGCCTGTTTGGTGCCAGCCCTTGGAGGGAGAAAATGCTCTTCACCACAGCTTCCCCTTTTACATTTAGGATGAATCACTGAAAGTCAGTTCTTACCTAAACATTCTCTTTAATTCCTTGGAGAAAAGTGTAAAGGAGCCATTTTTAAGTGAAGAGGTTCTAAAAATAATCTTGGAAAACCTTAATCTGATAAACCAGGGAGCTTTGAGGGAAAAAAATTACAGTGAAATCAGCAATCCCTGTTGAGTTAGGACCTCATCACAGGTCCAGTGTGTGCCACCCACAAGACTGGTCAGATGGAAATCACATCATACACTGACGAAATGTATTCATACCTAAGAGTCTAAATCCAAACATGGTAAATCACAAGCTGCTGGTTTCAAGTAGAGATGTTTCTTTGGCCATTAGGTGGTTGTCATTTTTGTAGTGAACTCAACAAAGACTTACTGGAGTCTACAGGGAATGACTGTCCTCAAACAAGTAATACTGAAAATGTGTAGTTAGTACTATAATAACGAACAGTGAACCACAAGAATATGCTGGAACTATGCGGCTTCCATTAGGAACAGGGTCGACAAAAGTTCAAACCTCTATGTCAAAAATGTTCTGGCTTTCCAAAAGGCGATTTTAGGCTGAAAGCGGTAAAGCTGCTTTTTAGCTCTCTCTTTTATAATATACCAACACTTAATGCACTTTATTTTCACTAGAATTTATGGATTATAAGGGAGGATATTTTGTGGAGATAAGTTATGTTAACCTTAAAAAATGAAACTACCAGTTTTTTTGCCATCAAAAATGGATTTATTCAGGAACAGCTGAGATTTGCAATCCAAGACAAGCAAACTGTATCAAAAGCATAGACAAGTCCCCTGAACAAAGGAGAAGACTGCGGTTTTTATGGGGGAGGGGGGCTGGAGAGATTGTTATAAACAAAAAGTCTATTGAAGGAAACTGGGAGTTCTAGGTATAGTGGCTTTTCATTGGCTGGCTATCATCATGACTGCCTCTCATTGGCTGAGCCGTTGTTATCAGGGGAAAAGGAAGCCTTCCTTCTCCTGCTGCAAGATTTCCTTTTACTAATTTTCTCAGGTGATGCAACATTTTGTAAAAGTGAGCCAGTTCTTTTTGACTTGTTAGTATGTCTCCAACAGGGTGCTCCCTTCAGGCTCTAGTGTTGAGTGTGTGTGCAGTATTAGCAGTATTAGTAGGAGACTGGGTCGGAGATAGAGGAGCTGGTGAGGAGGAGGGGATAAGGTGAGCTCATGGTGTGATGATAGAAGGAGGAGGCTGCTTACTTACCTATGCCATGTCTTGTTCCAAAGAGCATTTAGGTTCTTTATCTCATCTCCAGAGAAATGCCCCAAGGATAGAGAGCCAACAGGTAAAACCTCATCCATCCCACATCAATCATGGTGATGTCTAGGACCCTAGAAAAAATAATTCAGAGAATAAGAAAGTTTAAAAGATATTCAAAATGGAAACACAATAGAGGTTTCTTCACAACAAGGGGAACAAGGGGTTGTTATTTTTTAAAGACTTTATTTATTTATTCATGAGGGACACACAGAAAGAGAGAGAGGCAGAGACACAGGCAGAGAGAGAAGCAGGCTTCATGCAGGACTCGATCCCAGGACTCCAGGATCATGCCCTGGGCAGAAGGCAGGTGCTAAACCATTGAGCTCCCCAGGGATCCCTGGGTTGTTATATTTTTTAATCACAGACATCCAGTGATTTGGGCCAAATTCCTATTATACATCATGACCCTCACAAGAGCCTTCCTGCTATAGAGAGACCATGAAACTACTCACCGTTGCTTTTCCCTCTTTGTGTCACAGGGAAAAAAAGTTAAAATCTTAAGTATTCAGAAATCAGTTTTATAGAATCTGTGACTCTTACAGACTGTAATATTAAAACCATAAAATTCGGGATCCCTGGGTGGCGCAGCGGTTTGGCGCCTGCCTTTGGCCCGGGGCGCAATCCTGGAGACCGGGATCGAATCCCACGTCGGGCTCCCGGTGCATGGAGCCTGCTTCTCCCTCTGCCTATGTCTCTGCATCTCTCTCTCTCTCTCTCTCTCTCTCTCTCTCTCTCTCTGTAACTATCATAAATAAATTTTTAAAAAACCATAAAATTCAATGCAAGGAAGCAGTGCAAGGCAAATCTTCTTGAGCCAGTGCTGGAAATAAAGAAACCTATGGGCTTTGGGGACCATGAAATGTTATTTGTACCCAAAAGGATCAGCCATTTGAGGAGTATCATGTAGTCTGTGCAGAGGGTATTGGGACAGTGAGTGTGCCAGGATTTGGCCAGGAGGGGAGGAGCAGAAAGCAGAGGAGATTCCAGTTAGGGCACTCTATAGGATGGGGATGGAGCAGCAGCAGGCACTAAAGAATTCACTAGCAAAGTAGCAGAGCTTTGCAGTTTATATTTCCCAGAACTCTGTGAGGGAGATCTGTGCTAACAGAAGGAAGAAATTTTTTACAAGCTCTAGGAGTGTGAGACCCTCAGGAATGAGCTGAAGTAACAACAGATTGATATTAACTTAAATTATAGAAAGAGTAGATTCTGATAGCTACAGGGCTTTACTTTTGCTCCTGAAGCCTGCAGACTAGACCCCCACTGAGCCTCCTTGAACTTTAGAAGAGAACCCTTGGGCCCTACTCCAATGAGATCCATGGAGGACTTTTGACGTCCACACTATACAAAATAATAACTTGCATTGTTTAAGCCACTAAGTTTGCAGTCATTTGTTTCTGCACCAATAGGAAACATATGGCATCACGCTGCCACTTGGGAAGGTGAAGAGATGATGGGGGAAATCTAACTGAATGTCACTGTTGCTCGTTAAGAACATTGCCAAGGAGAACTAGAGTCTGCAAACACAGATTAGGAACAAAGAAAGAACTCCCAAAACTCAGAAAAAGCCAACCAAAGAGAATAGGGAAAATGTAATAGTAAGGTAGTAATATGCAATCAGTGTGGGAAGCTACTATCTCCTTTCCTAGATAGTAATAAACCAAACTAGCCTCTGGAGATGAGAAAAGTAAGAAAGAAGCCTTCATTTGGCCAGTAAGAATGCATCCAAGAATGTGTTCATGTAAACACACACACACACACACACACACACACACACGTTCTCAGATTTAATTTATACTGTGCTGTGATACAGATTTAAGCAGTTATATGTTCTTTGATTCAGTTTGTTGGTTTCAAAGCTATTCCTTATTCATTTTTTACACATGAAGCAGAGTCTCATTGACCAGGCCTCTGGAAGGGGACCCCCCCCCCGATCTCTCTCTTCTTGCAGCAGGCTTTAATCCTTTCCTCCTCCACTGTCTCCATCACCACTACCACCTAAGACTCAGTCCCTCCTGAAAAAAAAAAATCCAGCCTCCGTAAGGAAATAACACCTCTCTTGTATCTCCTAAACCTCATAGCCTCAGGAGGTGAATATAAAGGATTTTCCCCCTCTCAACTTCTAGCTCTCCCAGGAGGAAAGCATGAATTTTTGTCTCAGTGACCTCTTGCTTTGTGTGATAAGGAGGTGACAGGAGCAGTCAGCGGTGAACTCCAGTAAAATGATAAGAAGATGGTTAAATGATGAGAGCTCCACCCCGAGATGTAATTTATTTTTTAAATGCACTTTATATTTCAAGACAGACCAATCATGAATGCAGAAATAAGTAATTTATAAAGCAGGAGGAAAGGAGATGTCTAATCAAAAATGGACTGTGGAAAATAAGAAAAATCTAACACAATTGGGGTGGGGCAGGCAGATGAAAAAACTCAAGAGGTTTATGAGACATCATAAAATGTGGGTGGTATCAATATTCTGTAGGGGCTGGGATGGAAACAGAATTGGTACTGGGAGAGCTGAAATGGAAGGGAAGACACTCTTAGGAAGAAGAGAGAGGTCAGGCTACAAAAGAGATAGGCCTGTCCCTGAGTGGCAGAGTCTGTAGCACTATAGGGCAATGACAAAGGACCCATGGCAGTCCAGCAAGTTCAGTTAGCCTGCTTGGCAGCCTCATGCTGCCACCATGTGCTCACAACTCCTCCACCATTGCAAAGCCTTTTTTGGTGGTGGTTCTTCTTCAGAGTCAATCTCAAAGCCAGAATCGTCTTCCTAACTCATCACTTTGATGTTGTTTCCCTGCTTAAAACCCTCCAGTGGCTTCCCCCAGTCTACAGAAGCAAGTGCAGCTCCTACAGTGGAGTCTTCTCCAATGGCTATAGACCAACCTCAGTCTCCTTGAAACTGTACAGCCCTGACCTGAACCACTAGATTGGCATCTGTCACTGATTGCCCAACTGCTGGTAATTTATAAAGTTTATTTCAGTGGATAGACTCTACTTTCCTTGAGGGCAGAATGCTAGGCTGTATTGCTTTGTGATAAGTTCAGGGTACCATGGACTAATGGCCTCATCCCCAACCCAGTCCATTATGACCAGCACCCCATCCCACCTCTTACCACATCTGGGTCATAGCACTAGATGACCATGACATCTGCCTATAGCAGGTTGGATCAGTCAGGATAGCCCACCAAGATAGAGATCGAATTCAAGATCTGGACTAGAACTTAGGTTTTGTCCTGTGCCTTGGCAGAGAATGCAACTGCAGCCCTAGTCACAAGGTAAGCGGGTGATGTTGCCGATCTGTCACCACCTCCAGAGAAACAGCTTAAAGAACATTTGCTGACAGGGCTGCCTCCACAACACCCTCTTTGTATGTCTACTGCACCCCACCTCCATTGTGGTTTAGAGACAACTGAGGTTGTAGGGAAATAAGGAGAAAGAATGGGAATTGTTGGCATTTTATGATTTTCAAGTCTCAAG